AAGAAAATCCCGCGACGCTCGAGGAGTTCCTGCTGGAGGACGCGCCCGTCAGCATCATGCGTGCGAAGGGGCAGGCGGGGCCAGTCAAGCAGCTGGCAGAAACGCCGCTCCTGGTTGCAGCATTCGTTGCCGAGCGGATGTGCACATCCGACAAAGGCTAACAAACATCCGGAGATCAACCTGAAGACGCCGGGCGACGACATGCCTAAGTGGAAGAGGGTGCAGAGCGCAGTGGAGAGGGAGTGGAATACCTGGTGCAAGTACGATGCAGCAGCCCACATATCAGGAGCAGCGGTTGAGAAGAGTGACCCAGACAAGATCCTACGCTCCAAGGTGGTCTGGACGGACAAGGACCCTGCGGCCTTTGAGCCGAAGGCGAGAAACTTCTGCGCAGCGTCGCATCGGGCCTGCACCTGGACCTCGTCGTTGCAGACGAGAGGGGGGGGGGGGGGGGGCCTTTCTACAGGACAAGGCGATCATGTGCGAGCTCTACTTTCGGATCCCGACGAACCTTGGGAAGTGCAGCATCCCATATGTTAAGGCTGGCGACCTGTTGAAGCTTAACATGAGCATCTACGTGGCCAGCGATGCGGCAGGAGCTTGGCACGTGGCGCTGCGCGAGGCGCTCGGGAAGCATGGATGGGAATGCCTGCCTGAGCTTCGAGCCCGCGACCTTCATCAAGCGCAAGAAGGAAGACACGATCATAAAGATCATGTGTCTACACGCGGACGGCTTTCCCACGCGCGTTAAGCAGGGCGACCCTGGGGGCGCCAAATTCATGAAGGGCCTTCAGACGGAAATTGACTTTGGCGAGGTCAAGTACGCGAGGCAGGAGAGGGCGACGTGATGTGGCGGGGCCTATCAGCAGGACAAGGAAGGCAGTATCAACGTCACCATGGATGAAGGCCCATGTGAAGTCTACGCAGACCGTGCGCGTCTCCAGGGAGCGCAGCAAAGCACCTGCCAGTGCACTTACCCTTGCAGAGCATCGAGGACTACGAATGGTGGTTGGACAACTGCAGTGGGCTGCGCAAATGATTTGTTTCGAAGAGGCGCTCGAGGCATCCCGATTGGCATCGACGCTGGGGGCCCCGGCGGTGAAGGACCTACAGGGCGGGAATGCAGCTATCAGGAGAATCCAGAAGCGGGGCGACCTACTGATCAGGTTCACAGCTGGCCTGGACCTGTGGAAGACCATGGTGATCAACGTGACCGACAGTGCCTTCGACCACCTGCCGAAGCACAGATCGCAATGATGACGCATCATCGTGCTAGGTGGCGAGAAGATCAATGAGGACCACGGCAACAAGTACAAGCTGCATTGCACCGGGTGGCAGTCTTCAAACATTCAACGAGTGGTGCGATCTACTTTATCGGCGGAGGCATACCCCTGTGCAGATTCGATAGGTATGTTGATTTGGACAAAGTCAACCTTGGCGGAGATCCCGCACCCAGAGATGGATGCGGCCGAGGTCGTGCATGACAACTGCCAGGTGGAATGCATTTCGGCGACCGACTGCAAGAGCCTGTATGATACGATCACGAAACAGAAGGTATCTATGACGGATAAGAAGCTTCTCTGGAGGTGACTATACTACGTCAGTGACTAAAGGAGGTCAGCATCAAGTGGGTCAAGAGCAAGCAGATGCTAGCGGACTGTTTGGCGAAAGTGCTTCCACGAGGCTGCGCGAGGAAGATTGTGATATCTAACTTGTGGACTTTTGGGCCTGATGACAGAGCACCAGAGAAGGTGGCAGCCAACAAGGAGGTCGACGACCTGAACGCGAAGATGGCTAAGTACGTCAAGCAGGAGCTGTACGACGACACCTATGGGAACGATGAGATATCGACCTGGCCGGTGGAGACGTACAACTATGTAGACGAGTGCTTCTACGATGACAAGGACGAGAAGTATGACGATACCGAGTGTGTCGAAACCTTCTATATGGACGATGCGGCGGACAACTACCCAGTGGATAGGAGTGGCGCGCAGCGAAGCATCCGATGCCTGAACAAGTTGCAGTTCTGCTTCAGTTCTGTGCACTTGCAGTGTATGGAGTTTGCCTCTTGATGTCTCCTACGGTGGCGACGCTGGTTTCTATCATTGCGGGAGTAATCATGTTTATCTACATAATGCACCCTAGGCAAAGCGACGACGATGATTTCGGTATGGCACCGATGGAGGTAGACAGCACAAGCAACGACAAACTTTTCAGGGCGGAGGTGCCCAAGCAGGCAAACTACACTACGCCTGAAGGATGGGCCTGGGGTGAAGACGTACTCCGACGAGGTCACGGAGGATGGACAGATCTACCTGGGGGACAGTGCTCTCCAGAGGCAGTGGTTGGCTACACTGGGACCAATGCGCATCAGGAGTGGCAAATACGAGGGCAGCAGCTTCGCACACACACACACACACACACCACACACACACATATACATAGAGAGAAAGAGAGCAGGGGCAAGCACTACGCCAATTGCTTGGGCCGGTTTCTGAAGCTGGACGCAGACGAGTAGGAGCTATAGTCTGGAACCGAGCATCAAGCTTTACATTGCCTACAGCATCATCAAGTCAGCTCAGTTACGCTGGGATGTCACTACCAACTTTGTTTTGATGTTGGATGGTTGAGGAATCGTACGAGTTTTCCAAGACAAAGTTTGAGTTTACGTTGGGTGGTAGAAGGGGTTGCATTGATATTCCCTACCAACTTTGTGTTCACGTTGGTTGGTTGAGGGGATTGTGAGGAGAAGATGAGTGCACCCTCTCAAGTGATTGGATGACGTTTGCATCAATATTTGATGTGTTATAGTGATATGTGTTGCTGACGATTTGATGGGATGTATTTATATCTGCTGTTCAAGATCTGGTTTGATATCTTGACAATTGTTGCTCGGTGTGCGGGCGGCTTTTGGCCGGTCGAGCAGACAGGCATATTCATGAATAGGCTGGACGTTTCCTTCAGAATTTGCTACGCACTCTCTAGCAACAGTTTCTTTTTCCTGTGTGAAAATCAGATGGGCGAGGCGAGGATGTGAAATTTAGGGTGGTAATGAATAATGTTTCCCTTCCGCCCACGGCCGTTGTGGCTCATAAGCTGAGCGGGAGAGTGGACGCGCCTACTCACGCTTTGCTTTGAGTACGGAATTAACTTGATCTTATTTCCCTGATCTTGTGCTTGCATCGAGTGCTTGGTGGGAGGGATTTTGTGATCTGTAACTACAATCCCCAAATGGGGTGGTACTTTGGACAAAGTCTCGAAGGGGATGGGGATGGGGATGGGGATTCGTCAACCGATATCGATGAGGGGCAACGAAATGGGGGGACCAGCTCAGGGGGGAATCGCCGATGGATCGGCGACAGGCCCCCGATCGCAAGACCGCACCGTCCTGGGCGAGGTGGGCTATCCAGCCCCTATCGTAGGTCGGGCATGTCCCCCTACAGGCGGATTTTGAATAACAAATGAAGAAAAACTGCAAAAATGTTCAAAGTTCTTTAAAACAATATATAAAACAACTGTCCACTGACTATCTGTTTACTATGTCTGAATCTTCCTCCTGTAGAGGGACATGCCGGACTTAACCCTATCGGCGACGAATGGGCGATTGGGGTCCCCGACATCTGCGACGTCTTCAAACCGCGGCCTCAGAGGTCCCGACCCCTTCCCCGCGGGTGGTTTTGCGTCCCGCATCCCTTCCTGATGGCCCCCGGGCACGATCACGGGCCCCCGAGGCCGAAGTCCAGGAAAGACCGCCGGATGGAAAAGATCTGATCCGCGGATCTGTGGGGCCGATGCATGTCGATGACCCCCCCCCCTTGAGCCCATCCCCCCTTGGGGAAACCAAAAGGTACCGATACCACTACTCCCCGGACCTCTCCCGGGGTGCGCTCTGACCAGGACTTCGAAGCGAATCCAGCGGTGGCGACGACGGCCTCCCAGGAGGCCCTCGAAAGGGGAAACGGGGAAACGGACGGGGGGTAGAGGTATCACTGCACCGGCCTTGCAGACGTGCTGCAGCAGATTTCTGCGTGGATTTCTGCGTGGATGTTTGCCCGAAACGGCGAGCGAAAAACGGAGTGAATGTCGCGTGGATTTGTTTGGTCTTCATTCCAAGCAACAAAAAACGCACGGAACTCACCTCGAAATCCGGAACAAAATCCTCCAGGACACTCCGGGCCCACCCTATCGTTTTCCGAACGATGTCCGCTCTGCGATGTCGGCGCGATGGAGGCACGTGTACCTCCACTTCATCTGACACCTGGCGTTGCCCCCCTGGCCTTCGGGCCGCGCCTCGGCTCCCCAGCGGCCGCCCACGGGCGACACGCGGCACCCCCGACGCGGCACGCCCCGGGCGCGGTGCGGCCCCCCCCCGCTGGGAGGCACCCCGCGGCGCGAAGGCCGCGGGGAGCCGACGGAGACCCCTCGACAGCCTCGAGACCTCGAAAGTTTCGAAAGCCTCGAAAGCCTCAAAAGCCTCGGACCTCGAGGCCTCGAGACCTCGAGGCCTCGAGACCTCGAAAGCCTCGAAAGCCTCGAAAGCCTCGAAGCCTCGGGACCTCGAGGTCTCGAAGCCTCGCGACCTCGAGGCCTCGGACCCTCGAGGCCTCGAGGCCTCAAAAGCCTCGCGACCTCGAAGGCCGAGACCTCGAGACCCCTCGACAGCCTCGGACCTCGAAAGCCTCGAGCCACGAAAAAGCATGCTGGCCCTCCCGGGGCCCCACGCCGCGAGGAGACCACGCCGTCGGGCTGCGACTCGCCACGAGGCGGGCCGGAGCCCGTTGGGTCGCCCCGAGGGAGGCAGGCAGCCAAACTGACCAGCCTCGACCGGATCCCTCATCCCCGGCATTGATGAGCCAAAAGGCGACGACAATCTCAGGCATACGTTCTGAGAAACAGAGATGATCCTCAAGATCGGCATCGAGATCCGGCGATGCCGATCACAGGGATAGGGACATGCTTCAGGCTGGTAACGAGCGCGACCGTTTGCACCTCCCCGTCTCCACTGCGGACATGGGCCGCATCTTGCGGCCCGCCACCGCGGGGGCCGCGCCGGTGGTGGCGGCGAGCTCCTCCAGCGCCCGCTGCAGCTTCCGCACGTGCCCCAGCGGCATGCCGCAAGTGTAGCGCATGTCCGCCTGCGTGGGAGGGCGCAGACGTCCCGGGACGCTGTGCTCTCGCGCCCGATCCGGACGGCCCAACAGGGTTGAAAGATGACCCTACGAGGGCCCAAGAGGCTCCCAAGAGGTGTTGCGTGATAACCGACCCCTAACTCAATTATTCACTGCGTGGAGCTCCCCGTATGTGCATCTCTTTGCATTGGCACTTCCACCGTGAATGTCTAGGCGCAACAAACTTCGAATATAAACGAGCTTAGATATTGACAGCCTGGGAGAGAGTCTAACTGTGAATGATTGTGAGTGTGTATGAGCCCCCGTAGTACAAGTGAGTCTATGCGCGTGAGCCTGCGCATGGCGAAGCTTAGGGTGAGGGTGTCTGCACGTCAGTGGCCTGAGCATGACTGAGTGTGACTGAATCCTCCTGGGATCTCTTGGGGCTTCCTCAAGTCTCCTCGAGCTCCTTGGGCCTCCTGGGGCTTCCTGGGGCTTCCCTGAGTCTCTTGGAACTCCTGGGGCCTCCTGCGGCTTCCTGGAGCCTCCTGGGGCCTCTTGGGGACTCCTGGGGCCTCCTGGAGCCTCTTGGGGACTGCTCGTCCTTGCGCCTCCTGGGGCTTCCTGAGGCCTGTTGGGGCTTCCTTGGGCCTTCCTGGCGCTTCCTGGGGACTGAGCCTCCTGAGACCTCCTGGGTCCTTCCTGGCGTTTCCTGGGGCTTCCTCGGGCTTCTTGGAGCCTCCTGGTACCTCGTGGGGCTTCCTGTGGCTTCCTGAAGTCCCCTGGGACCTTCTGGGCCCTCCTGGGGCCTCCTGGGCCTTCCTGGAGCCTCCTGAGGAGGATTCGTGTCCCAGGAGAGGCCCAATCCATAGGAACATAGGTAAAACACGTAGGATTGAAGAGAAAGACACTATACAAGAACATACGTACAACACAAAGGATTCGTGCACCACAAGACGCCCAATATATAGGAACATACGTAAAACACATCGGAGTGGAGCCACAGGAGAATGACAAACGAGAGGAACAGACGTAAAACACAAAGGGCTCGTACCCCATGAGAGGCCTGATCTATAGGAATAGATATTAAACACATAGGATTGGAGCCGCTCCTGGGGCCTCCTGGGGCCTCTTGGGGCCTCCTGATGCCTCCTGGGGCCTTCTGGGGCCTCCTGGCGCTTCCTGTGGCTTCCTGAGGCCTCCTGGGACCTCCTGGGACCTCCTGGGGCCTCGTGGAACTTCCTGAGGCTTCCTGAAGCTTCTCGGGGGAGCCTCTTGTGGCATTCTGGGGCTCCCTGGGGCTTCCTGGAGCATCCTGGGGCTTCCTGGGGATTCCTCTAAACTCTTGAAGCTTCCTGGGGGCGCCTGGAGCCCTTTGGAGCATCCTGGAGCCTCTTGGGGCTCCCTGTTGCCTCCTGAAGCCTCCTGGGGCCTCCTATGGCGTCCTGGGGCCTCCTGGAACCTCCTTGGGCGGGCCTCCTGGGGAGGATCCGCCACGATTCTGGCAGCCAAAACAAGCAAACCGCTCGAGGCATCCTCGCAATCTAAGTCCCCTGGGGTGCGAATGCCAGCGCCTGCGCTCGTCGAGTCTGGCCACCCAAACAAGCACACCTCTCGAGACATCCTCGCGATATGGACCCCCCCCCTGGGGTGCGAAAACCAGCGCCACGCACGATACATCCTCCAAGTCTGCTCCGGACATATAGGATGTTGGGTCAAGAAACACGCAAACCGCTCGAAACATCCCCGCAATCTGGGCGCGAACGGAGACCATGCAACACCCCTGGCGCCCCCTCCCCTAGGAGTGCTAAAACAAGCAGGCCGCTCGAGGCATCCTCAGAATCTGCTCTGAGCGCACACGAGTACGGCCACCAAAACAAGCAAACCTTTCGAGACATTCTCGCGATATGGGCCCCTTGGAGTGCGACAACCAGCGCCTCGCACGAGACATCCTCGAAATCGGCTCCGAAAACGAAAGATGTTGAGCATGCAAACAAGCAAACCGCCTGAGGCATCCCCGCAATCTGGGCGCGAACGGAGGCCGTGCAGAACCCCTGGCGGCCCCCCCTTAGGAGGCGCCTCGCACGAGACATCCTCAACATCTGCTCCGAACACGGTGGATGTTGAGCATGCAGACAAGCAAACCGCCTGAGACATCCCCTTCACCTGGGCGCGAACGGAGGCCGTGCATACCCCCTGGCGGCCCCTCTTAGGCGTGCCAAAACCAGCAAACCGCTCGAGACGTCCTCAACATCTGCTCATCGTCATCGTCATCGTCATCGTCATCGTCATCGTCATCGTCATCGTCATCGTCATCGTCATCGTCATCGTCATCGTCATCAACATCATCATCATCATCATCATCATCATCATCATCATCATCATCATCATCATCATCACCACCATCATACTCATCCGTCACTCACCATCACTATCATACTCACATCCTACTCTCACCACACTCATCATCATGCAGAGAGGAAGGAGGCGAGGGGAGGGGTCCGTCGCGGTCAGAGTAATAACAAGAACCCCATCCTTTGGATATGGGAAGGAGCCGAGACGCGCTGACCATTACAGATTTCAGATGACCCGTTCGGGGTACCAGCGTGGAACGCAGACCCCATATGGGGGCTTCCGCCTGGGACTTCGTTGCGATTAACTGTCAGACGAGGTGATTAATTGATGGTGAGTGGTGGTGAATGGTGACTGATTGATGATGATGGCGAATTAGGGTGATGATGGCGATGCTGTTGATGGCGTTAGTGCTGATGTGTATGATGATGGTGACGATGATGGTGGTCATGGTGTCGAGTGTGCCAGCGAATGTGGGTGACGATGACGAAAGTGATAGTGACTCTGATGAGGATGTGTGCGAATATGGTGATGGTGCTGATTGTGGTGCTGGTGATGATGAGTGTGATGACGGTTGCTTGGGTGATGGTGGTGCAGTTGAATATGACGTGGGGAAGGGGGGAAGTCTGCGCGGAGGTGCGCCGAGCAAACCAACGAACCCAGTTAGGATGTGGGGAGCACAACAATACCAAGTGTTCGCGCCCCTCCCATCCTGACCCAAGATTATGCCCCACACTGGACCTTACACTGCTTTTGTTTCCCAGCCTCCTTGGTTGGGTAATCTTTTTGAACAGAGCACTGCGGTCGCGTCCTTCCGCCCCCAGCCTCCTCCTGCCCCCTCTTCGCCGCCGATGGGGGTTGCGATTTGAGAAGCTGTCGCCACTTTCTAGGACTGCTGGTGGGTACAGCGGAGCGAGGCACCACGCAGATTTGAACAGGACCTCGCCGACCCTGGGTGGGGGTTGCGATCTGCGAAACCGTCGCCACTTTCGAGGGTTGCTGGTGGGTCCTTTTCCGTTTTAGTCGTCGTCGCCGTCGCCGCTCCCCTTCCCTTCTCCTGGGCCCTCCTCCTCCTCAAGCGATCCAGCAAGAGGGAAATCAAACAACGTCGTAATTGATTAGAAAGGAAGCCCCTTTCCTTGAGCCCTTCCTTGGCGGGGGGGGCGGGGGGCGGCGGGGTCCCGGGGCGGGGCCCGAGGACGGTCCCAGAGGTCGTGACCTCGACCCCCCCCGGGGGGTCCACCCTGTGAACAAGAGGGACAGGGGAGCGGTCCCCTTGTGGATAAGGGGAACCCAGACCCCTCCCCCCGCCTCCCCCCTGTGGACAAGGGGACCATCACCTCCCCCTCCTCCCGGACCCACCCCCTGGACGCACCCTCCTTACACTCATCTGCTGTTGTGGTGTGCTGCAATAAACTCCCAAGAGAGCCCTAAGAGGGGCTCCAGAGCGTCGCCGCCGCCGCCGCCACCGCCGCCGCCGTCGTCGTCGGCGTCGTTCCCCTTCAGGATCGGCGGCACCGGCCGGCCTTCCCAATCAATTGACAACTCTCCGTCGCTATATTGTTCTTCAGGAGCCGAGTCTACATCGCAGAGCGGGGGTGGGGCTGGAAAGGGGCAAACCACTCATTGACAAGAACTCTGCTCCTATGTGTATCGACCGAGATCGCTGCGGCGACTTCCAAAACTGGCCTCGAGGGTTGGCCGAGGTCGGCTATCACATGACGAAAATAGGCCCCCAGGCAGCCAAAGAGGGCCCCAAAATCGGCTTCAAAGGGCCCAACACTCGGGCGCACCCTCACACGGATCAAGTGTAAGCGGCACAAGCGTCCTGGGCCGCATTGCCCGCGCCCCCTCTCGCAAGATCATCGCACCCCTGACAGGTACTCCACGAAGCTTGAGATCCTCTGGCGTTGCCAATTTTTCACACCAGGCGTTTTCGTCCACTCTCGGGCCACAAACTCTCACGACTTTTTCAACGAACGTTCCCGCGAAGGTTGCCCGCGTCAGCCGCCGCGCATCAGCGCTCTCGTTTCTACCTCGTTTCCACGTGGTGCGCCGCTTCAGCGGCCTGCGAAAGCCGCCGCGTGAGGTCGCACGGCCGTCACCTGAGATGCTGGAGCTGCATGTTTGTTCACACCAGGCGTTTTCGCCAAGTTTCGGGCCCCAGGACCCTCGCGGATCGACCCGGTTCGAAAAATGCCACAGGAAGATGGGGTCTAGGGCTCTGGTCGTGCTTTGTAGCGGTGCTGTGTCTGTTCGTGGTATCGGATCGCCAGGCCTCGCCAGACTGGAGCAAAATCGGACCAGGACACATCGAGGATCTCTGAGATCCCCCGGCTCTGGAGGACGTGTCGCGCCACGGCCTCTCTGGAGCACTCCCAGACGCTCTCAGAGGGGCATCCCGTCCCGATCCGAATCCGACCCCACCAACCATCGATGCTCCTGAATAGATGGGAGCCGGGGGTAGGGTTCAGACTTCGCCGCGTGTTCGGCGAGTTCCGAACCCTACCCACACCGCCCACCGAGTTGCCTGAATCATTGCTGATCGGCGAGGGTGATGCTCGGATTTCGCCGCCGAACTGGCCCAGAGTCGCCGGTGGCCCCCCCGCAGCCGGGCAGCAGGCTCATACGGTCACGGTGGGGAGCCAACGCTACCGTCGATGATTATCGAGCAAGAGCGCACACCTGGATCAGGAGATATTTGGGGTGACCCAAGATGGTGTCCAACTGAAAGGGGGTGATGCAATAGATTTGGGGCAACTGTATTGCAAATGTTTTGCGCAAATTGTATTGCATTACATTGAAAGTCATGTATTGCACGCGAAAAAACAGCAATACATTTACGCCCCGGAATGTTTACACACCCCAACTGCATTACAACCACGCAAATCTATTGCACCAAATCTATTGCACCACCCCCTTGTCGCTGGACCCCCTTTTGGGTCAAGCCGAAGATAAATGTTCACTGTTCTGCGATAGCCCGCATCTCGGTGCTGCATGCTGGCAGCACCACCAGCAAGGAATCATGGAACACATCAACGAACAGAAAGCATGCTTAGCAATCGGCGTCTAAGCTGCTCCGCGCCCTCCTTGGATAATTCTTGGCACATGCCTCGATGCTCGCGATGGAGGAGTCAGGGCGCTGTCCTTGAGAACCAAGCGTGTGCAGACATCTTGGTTCGCTGCGAGTGCCGCCGTCGCTCCTCCTCGTCCTCCTCCTCATCCTCCCCTTCCTCCTCAGCACCGCCCGGGCCTCGGTCATCGACATCAGCCCCTCCATCCTGTTGAAGCCACGTTCCAGCAGCGTCGGAGCATACTTCGGGAGGCCGATACTCTGAAGAAACTCGTGCACCTCTCCGCCGTCCAAGACGACGCTCGCGGCCATGACGGCTGGCTGCCTTGCGTCCCCCTCGTTTCCCTCGTTTTGTCTTCATTTCTCCTTCGCTGCACGATCAAATCGCCCAAAAGCAGTTTAGCTCGCGCCCTGGTCCTTGCCATCGCTCTGACGTCCATGCCCCGTGAAAGTTCGGTTTCGTGCGTTCGTTGTTTGTTTGTTCCGCAGGGTGCTCCAAGATGCTCCTCGATGGTCACCGCGAAGAAGCCATGCACACGATCGAAAGGTGCAAGGGTCCCACGACCGTCAACTCAGGAACGCCGAGCGGCCAGGAGCCGCGTGGGGCCCCTCGCCCAAGGCCGATGCTGCCATCGTGTTGCTGCAGTGCTGCAGTGGGAGCTCGACAATAAGAGGGCCACAGGAGGGCCCCAAAAGAGATAGGGCCCCACGGTGGCCCCGGTGTGCCTCCAGGAGGCTCCGAGCGCGTGACTGCATGCTGCTGCACATCCTTGGTCAGGGCAACTGGCCTGGGGAACTGTTTGTGGATGGGCTGGTGGGGATGCGGGGCTGCTTACAATAGGAGCTCGACGACAAGAAACCCAGCCCTAAGACCCCAAGGCGCCAATTGAGTCTTCCAAGTAACCCACGGCAGCCTGGAGGCAAACAAGGTGCTGTTTTTTTCTGGCACGGTTCCAGTGTAGTCCAGCCCGCGGCGGTGCCCACAATGCCACTTCGGCTGACAGCGGTGAGTTTACCGAAGCGGCAGGGTGGCAAGAGCCACGAACGTCCTTGTCTACCAACCCACGCGTCCTGCATGATGCCCGGCCATCCTGTTTGCTTGGTGGGGGTACTTTTTTGGTCGGCGGCTCCAAGGCAACGGTCAGGGAGCGAAAGCGGCGTCCGGGAGGCGGAACGGGGGTGGTGGGGGCACGCGAAGCGTCAATACTGCATGCGTTTTGCAAATTAATGTTCGACGAAAGGCCAGCGAAGACCGCCGAAAGCCGCCGAATATGGAGGCGGCTGGGGAGCGTGAGCTGATTGGCCCCTGAAAATATCGGCCAAGAGGAAACGGATAAGGACATGCCCGCTCAAAATGGATCCCCCAACCTCTCACAAGGCCCTTTTGGTTCACCCCTGAGCCGTATTTTACCCGGAAGCCGAAGAGGGCAACACAACACCTGAGCAGCTCCTTTTCCACATTGCAGGGAAATCGTTCTAACGAAAGCCTCGCGTCGTCCTGGCCAAATGCTAGAGTTAAATGGTGTCTCTCACTCCTCCCAGGGAAGGAGGATGGGAGCCGAAGACTATGGAGGGGGAGAAGGACCAAATGAGAGAAAAAACATCCGATGCTGAATCTTTAAGCAGGTGCGTTGTGTCTACGACATCACCGAATTCAAAAAGCTCACCCTCAAACCGTTCAAGAACAATAGAGCAACTCTTTTTTTCACATTGCAGGGAACTCGTTCTAACGAAAGCCTCGCGTCGTCCTGGCCAAAGGCTCGAGTTAAATGGCGTCTCTCACTCCTCCCCGAGTTTCCCGAATTCCGGAGTTCACTAGGGTTGGGAAGGGGGGGAGTTTCGATTGTATCCAAAACGGGCAACGCCGGAGGCCGTCAGGGACCTGACTATTCAGTGCGCCAGTGCTAGAGGATACGCGGCTGCGGGGCGGGTGCGAGCGCCCCCTTCCAGGACGACCCGAGCGAAAGCGCAAACCACCCCGTCCCCGGCACCGCCTACAGAGATCCACGAGATCCTTCTTTACAACATGTCAGAACAGCAAACGAGCTTGTTCCTTACACTGAGCTTTGAATTGGCATAGGTCTAGTTCGACCAGGCTGACACATGGCAGGTGCGAGAGCGCTTGCACTTTGAGCGCGTGCCAAAGCCGAGAGGTGAGCGGGTGCTCAAGTACAGCAGGTATCTTGAGCTGATGGACAAGAGCGAACAAACCTATAGCGGCACGGGCAATGGCAGTTCCTGCATCGAGCTTCAAGGCGTCTGGCACACTGAGGCAGGTCTTGGGCAACCCCCAAGGATGTTTTTGCGAGCGAACTCTTGCCGTCCTGTCACGAGCGATCGAAAAGGTTTGCCAGGGCGGCGCAAGTGTGGCAGCTAGGACGAAGCCTCTTCGCGCCTCGCGCCTGATGGCGGCAAGCACTGCATTGCTGGTGAGGTCTTGCCAGACTGGATCGCGAGCAATGTCCCACCTGCGATACCTAAACCCTAGCTTCTCGCCAGCGCGCGAGATGCACCTGCTGCCTGCAGGGAGATCTGCCACATAGCGTCCTTTGAAATAAAAGCGCTGGGCAGTGAGGTGCTTTTCACGGCCGCCCCGAAAAACATGTCTCAACTTACTGCACGGTCCGTCATTTGTTGCGTGGATTCCTGCCAATGCCAAACCTGAAACAGCAAGAGCGAAAAGCGAAGTCTCCATTCCTGCCCAAACAATCCGCACGACATTCATTTGGAAATCCGAAACGAGACTCTCCAGTACAATCCAAGCCCATCCCCCGTGCTTTCTGGACGACATCCGCTCTGCGATGTTGGCGCCACGAGATGTGGGGATAGGGATCGGCACAACGATGCTCAGCCTTCGGTGGCAACTCATGGGAGCCTCCCATACCAACTTGTCGGCTCCTGCGAATCGACGCTGATCGACGCTAAATCGACGCTGCTCGATGCTAAATCGACACTCGTCGACGCTACATCGGCGCTGTCTCATCGACTCCCACATGTTGATGGACACTGACCGACGCTAAAAACAAGATTACGAGGGTATACACGGCCCCCATGATTTGCGACCGAGCTCATTCAAAGGGCCGTCGTCGCCGCAGCGAGGCCGCGGCCTGTTCCACAGCATGGCGAGCCGCCGCGCGCCCGCCGGCCGCGGGCGGCCGCCGGCGGCCGCTGGTCATGCGCCCCGGCCGCGGGAGGCGCCCCCGAGTGGGGCTGGGTCTCGAAGCCCGGCGACGGCGGATCGAGGGTCTCGCGTGGGCGCCGCGCACACGTCGGTACATCGGCGATGCGGCGCGATCCTCCGACCCCATCTGGGAAGCCTAGAGATGAGGGGACCTCCAGGGACCGGGACTGCAAGGCTAAAGTTCTTGAGCGTGCTTGTCGCCACGGCTGGGCCCAAGTTCTTTTGGAGTCCCGAAGCGGTGCGGTGACAGACCGTGCGGTGACCTCCAAATCCCCCAAGACCTCACCGCACGGTCCGTCAACGCACGGTTCTGGGACCTCCAGGTCCCAGTCGCCAGAGACGTCCTCGGAGAACGATCCGAGTCCCAAAACCGTGCGTTGACCCCGAATCCCCACTGACTCACCACACGGTGTGGTCACAATCTCGTTTCAGGGGCCACCGAGTTCTGGCCAGAACGCCCCAAGACAGGTCCGGGGGTCGACCTTTGTCGGCGGCGCGCCCAGCAGGGAAGCGAGAGGGGGCAGGCCTTCTCAACGGCGGCGGGGGCACATCAGAAAGCCTCGCGCCTTGTAATAATCGGCGGCAAAGACAAGGGCGAACAGCTCAGGAGCGGGCATTACATGTATTCGCCTGGGAGCCTCGCCGAAGACATGGATCATCGGCGCCCCTGGATAACGTATTGCTCCCCCCTGGGCTGTTCGCCCTCATCGTCGCCCCCGAGATAAGCCGTTCGTGGCCTAGATCTTCATGGTTGCCACAATCGGAGACGGCCCCCGGAGGCCTCCGCGGCAGCACAAAGGCGGCTCCAGACCCCACCCCACAAAACAGGCCAACAGGGCGGAGGGAGGGCCCGTCCGAGCGAGGCCTGGTCGGGGGGCCGGCGCAAATCCTCAGTGCCCAGCGCTCGAGTAGGGGGTCGACTACATAATTGATCTACCCCAAAATCTATTTTCTCGTCGAGTCATGCGTATAATTATCACAGATATATGGACACTCTGCGCATTTCTCATGGATTCGACGAACAAATCTCAATTCTGTAGTCGATCCCCTACTCGAACAAAGGGGTAGGGGGAGGGGGGAAGGCTTCCAAGACGACTTCCCCATCCCCCTCCCCCCCTCTGCGCGCGGCCGATCGCGGACCGAGTCTCGAGGATCGACGATGGTCAGGAGCGGCGAGCATATCCGTATCCGCGCCCTCGCGGTCAAGGTGCCGGGGCGCGATCCCGCGGCGCGGCCGCACGGAAACGTTCCGCGCGGGGCATCCGCGAGAAAAAAACGCTCCGTGCCAGTGGGGTCGCAGCCCAGGTGCCCGCCCCGCGAGGCCGCGGCTCGAGGGTCTCGAGGATCGACGATGGGCCTCGAGGATCGAGGGTTTCGAGGATCGACGGTCTGGAGAAATGAAAGAGAAACGATGGAGATCGAAGGTCTCGAGGATCGACGGTCTCGAGGGTCGACGATGGAGAAACGATTGGTCGGTTGTTCCCCCACAGCGTCCGATACACTGCAACGCTCACAGGGAGGAGAAATGGATCGGGCCTGCGAGCGCCACAGCATGCTCGTAGGCACCAAGGCACGCCTGTCAGCACCACAGCACGCCTGTGAGCACAGCGCCTTGCCTGTAGGAATCGCCCCACCCCCCCGCGTACGTTCTGTACGTACCGCTACCGGAATTGGGGGGAAGGGGGGGGGGCGACACCCCGTAACGGACGTCACGGACTCAAAAAAACAATCCCGAGGAACAGACTACCACACCCTGAAGAACAGCTTGACGAAAGTGGCCATGGGTTTCAAGGAGCGCTGCGGGCTCGCATCGGAGTCATCATGGGACTGCCTGGCATAATGGCATTGCACTTTCACGGGCCACCTTCTGTGGACGGGGGAAAAGGCTGCAAAATCGATCCGTCATGTCTTTCCTCAAGGGTCTGGCGAACGCTAACATGCATTAGGGTTCCGTGGATATGGCGCGTGGGCGCCAAATCCGCGGATCGGCGAAAATATCCTCCGAAACATGGGGGCGGCCCCGTTTGATTTGGCGAGGCGGCGCGCCGAAGTCGTATAGAAACGGGACCCGTCGCCAATCCACCCGCCTGGATCCATGTTTTCGCTTCCCCGAAGGAGGGTCGTAGTAGTTACTATGCGCCCCCCTCGGAGGCGCACGTCCGAACCGAGTTTGGAGTTTTGGGTGTATCTTGGGGGCCGCGTGAAACCTCTTCGGGCGTGTCGGGTCGCATCGGGGGCCTCGTGGGCCGCCCTGCAAGCCTTCTGGGCCCGCCCTGGGATCACACTAGCCATCTTGGGGCCGTCTGCGAGACCCCGGGGCTCCAAGGACCTTCAACACCCTCATGGGGAAGGCTTGGTATACGCCCTGGGGGTCTCTTCGGTTGTACCATGGGATATATGTACGTATGTGTATATATATATATATATATACATACACATATATGTGGTCGCTCCCCCCTCCCCCCCCCCCCCCCCGAGCACCCCCAAACCACCAAAACCACAAAATCTTCACTGATCGTTTGCTCCTCGTCGCTCTCCTCCACACCCCCCCTTCCCCCCCCCTCCTCGAAACTTGCGAAAAGCAGCGGGAACCATTGAACAAAAAACAAAAAAAAATGTTTTCGGGGGAACCTTGCCCCCCACCCAGGAGTTTTACCGAAATCCTAATTGTTTTTTTTGTTTTTTGTGTGTGTGTGTGTGTCTGTGTGTGTGTGAGTGTGTGTGTGTGTGTGTGCGTGTGCGTGTGCGTGTGCGTGCGCGTGTGCGTGTGCGTGTGCGTGTGCGTGTGCGTGTGCGTGTGCGTGTGCGTGTGCGTGTGCGTGTGCGTGCGCGTGCGCGTGCGCGTGCGCGTGTGCGTGCGTGTGCGTGTGCGTGTGCGTGTGCGTGTGCGTGTGCGTGTGCGTGTGCGTGTGCGTGTGCGTGTGCGTGTGCGTGTGCGTGTGCGTGTGCGTGTGCGTGTGCGTGTGCGTGTGCGTGTGCGTGTGCGTGTGCGTGTGCGTGTGCGTGTGCGTGTGCGTGTGCGTGTGCGTGTGCGTGTGCGTGTGCGTGTGCGTGTGCGTGTGCGTGTGCGTGTGCGTGTGCGTGTGCGTGTGCGTGTGCGTGTGCGTGTATGTATGTGTGTGTGTGTTTGCTTTTGGTTTTCTCAAGCGGTCTTCGCTGACCCCCCCCCTCTCAGCCCCCCTCTCCCCTTCCTCCTCCCCCGCCTCCCCCATTTCCACCTCCTCCTCCTGTCGCAATCGCTGTTCTGCTATATTTTCTGAACGGCGCTCTGCGTCATCGCGCAAGCCCTTCGGGGGGGTGGTCGGCGTTGACCGTTTGGCGGGCAAGACGGCCTACAAAACAATAGTGGTTCATACGTGAGCGCGCGCGTCGCGCCGACGGCCCTCGGCGCCGACTGCGCAGCGCCCAGCGCGCGCTCGCAGGGCGCGGCCGCCCGCTCACTGGGCATCGCCGGGGGGCGCCGCCGCCGGCTCCGAGGCCTGATCGCCCTGTTCAATCAGGAGCCCGAGCTCGGCCTCCAGGGCGCCGTCGTCGTCGTCGCCGTCGACGGCGATCGCCCCCCCCCCCGCGGGCCGAAGCGACGATGGAGGCGAATGCCGCCTCTTGCTTCGCGGCGTCCACTCCCGACAGCGGACCTCCGCGCCCCACCGTGAGCCTTCTCGCCCTCTTCACTGGCGGAGGCGAGCACAAGTCCACGGAGGCGCCGTGGCGCGCCCTGTCGAGGCTCTTGAAAATGGCGGTCTGCTCGTCCTGGTCCTCCTTCGTCAGCTCCCCGCAACGTCCCGCGATGTCAGGCTGCGCGGCGCTTGCGGCGGGGGCGCTCTCCTCTGGCCCATCCACGCCGCCGCCGAGACCGAACACGTCGTCCTCATATGGTGCGTCTGCCGCGTCGTCAGGGCGAGACGCCGAAGCGGCGCCGGCTGGCGCGTCTGCCGCGCCATCGGAACGAGACGCCGAAGCGGCCGCGGGGGTGGGCGATGCGCTTGCCGCCGCGCCTGGCTTGACGAACCCCGAAATCCTGCCACTGCCGACGACTGAGACCGCGCGTCCAGGGCCATCACCAAACATCGGGGCAACGCGGACCGTCGCAACCGCGGGTACGTCACGGCCCCCCACCAGACTGCTCATGTGGCCGATTGACCATTCCATCTTGTCGGCATAGTCTGAAGGGGGCGGGCGGACAGCGGGCGACGACGTGTCCCGCACCTCGCTGGCGAAGGTCGGGGGCTCTGGGGCTGGGCCGCGGCGTGAACTCGGCGCCGTCCTCCAGATCTGCGGGCGCCGCGCGCCAGTGCACCCCGAGGTCCGCGACCGCGACGAAGTGCGACCTGGCGAGGATGGCATTGAAGTCCTCCTCGGTCTTCACCTCCTCGAGCGACGGGGCGACGATCTTCTTGCAGCGGTCCAAGTCGCACTTGCTGCGCGTCGCGGCATCCAGCGCCGCCCTCTCCGCGTCGCGGTCGCAAGGGTTAGCGGCGGCCTGCCTGCGCGACCCTTGCTCGAAACCGCAGCCGCCCCACCCGGCCCACAGCGCAACGCGCCCCCTTTGGGGTTGAAGAAAGCCTTGAGAACGTCAACCGCTACCTTCGGGCGGTCACGCGCTGGCCCCACCACCGCCGCCGCGATCTCATATCGAACACATTTACAACTACACGCAGCAAAACTGCACCTTGTTGCGGGGACCAAGGGTGGCAATCATAATTCGATTTGGCGCGTCGGTCGGTCTGGGTGGACGGACGCCGCCTCACGACCTACGATGGAAGGAGACGGCCGCGCCGACGACGTTGCGCGCCAAGCGTGGAATCGATCGCCACGTTTCACGGCGGAGCCAGGCAGCTGCCGCAACAGAAACCATAACATGAACAAGCGTCTCACCCTCGGACGGGGAAGCTGGCACGAAGAAAAACTCGAAAGCGCAGGGGATCGGATCGCGAAGTTGCTGCTGGGGCACAGGCGGGGGAGGGAAGCGGGCTGCGCGAGGTAGAGGCCCCAAGGCATACGGCTGGATTCGCCGAGCAGGGGGATGCGGGATGTCGGCGGGGAGCGGCCCAGGGGACGGGGCTCCGGCGATGGGCAGCGCGGGCAGCCGATGCTTCGCGAAAAAGGGACACGCACAGAACGACACTTAGCGGCCGGGACGTGGTGCACGTTGGGGGCGCGAGCGGCGGCACCCGACATGCACCCTGGCCCGCTGGCTAGGTGTAGTATATAAGCGCTCCGTTTGTGAAGGTGTATCGGGCGAAACCAGCACGTGCAGAACTACGCCTAGTGCCTGGCTAAGTGTAGGTACTGAACGCGCTGGATGTCTCGCGCGGGGCGAGCACGTGCACCTAGCGAAAGGGACTGCAGGTCGGGTGCGTCGTCGCGCCCCGCCCGCAGAGTCAGGAAGGCAGAGCCCGCCGAACCCCCTGCCGGCCTCCGGGCGGAGGTGTCTGACGTCCCAGTGCTATCCGAAGGAATTCCATGTGCGGCCTCCGCCCACATCGCTCCCCCTATCAGAGCATCTCGCCTGGTCACTATGTTCCCTATTCCCGCCCGCTGTTTTGCCCCCCCCCTCCCCCGTTCTTCCTCTACCTGCCGGGTACCATTTCCCTGAGCGTTTCCCAATTGCCCCTGGCCCCAGCGCGGCGGCAAACGCCCGCGCCCCCCCGCAGCTGAAAGACTCACCTTGCGCTCATCCTCCAACCCACTCGCGAAGCGCAAGTTTTGGTTCCACACTGACACTGGCAAGCGACGTCGAGGCACCGGTGCATCCGACAGGCACGATCGGCCCCCTCGAATGGCGGGCGAACCAATACGTAAGACGATGTCGCAAAAGTAAGTTTGGAATTTGGGGATCCGCGGAAGAAGCTGATCCACTCGCCCAAAGTGTAGTTCTGTGCCTGTCCGATCATAGTGGGAGGGGGTCGCAAATATTCGCTTCGATCGGGGCCTCCCCGACGAAAGGAACCGCGCCCCCCCCCCCAAGAAAAAGCGGGCAGCAAGGGCAGGGGCCACGCGTGACCACCGAACCTTCTGCGGGAGGCCGTCGTCGAAAATCCCAGGATGGACGTCCGTCGTCGGCTCTCCCTTGAAGAAATCCATATGCTTGACAGTGAGGAAGGCGACGTCGCCGGCGGACCGCTTCTTCTGGATGCTGCACGCCGAGTGCGTCCAGGCCAAAGTCTTAGAGCCGTTGCTCTTGCTGGCCCTGGACTTCCCGATCCACAAGACCCCGTGCAAATTGAGGGTGCCAATCGTGAACTTGAGGACGCCGTTGAGGAACCAGCCCGCGAAATCCTTCACCGTCAAACTCTATCGCGCGATCGGCTTGGCGTGTGTCCTCCCTTTCTGGTGATGGCGCAAAGCGGTCTCCACCTTGGCGGCTGGCCAACCGAAAATGTTCGACCCCTCTCTATTCACCTCCGCGTCGGCCCACTCCATGAACTGGTTTCTGTTGTTACTACGAGGGCCGTGCTCGCGGATGGACGCGCACCCCTGCGTGCGCTCATCATGCTCTAGCGGCTGCTTCCGCTCGTGCTGCGGCTTGATCGTGCAGTACCTAAGGTGGGGGGGGCCTTTGATAATAATAGCTTCGATAAGGAAGCAAGGGTCTCGCGGCCGATGGGCGCTAAAACATTTGCCGCGCAGCCCGTGGGGGGGCTGCGCCAGCGTCTGGCACTCAGGAGGGCGTTCCTTATCGTATGCCCCCAACGTATCTGGTAGCCCTCAAGCTTCTCCAACATGAAGTGGAACAACACAATCGAGCCCGACCTGAAGTTTTTGCCGTAGTCGATCTTGTGGGGGCCCCCGCGGGCGCAGCTCAAGGTGGTCGAAGCGTCGACTCTGTTCTTCTTGAAGCTGACAATCTTGAGGATGCGGTAGGTGGAGCACTCAGGGTCCGCGGGATTCTCGCGCATGATGAACAGCCTCATCGCGCACGGAATGGCAGGCTCCTTCTAGAGAGACAACGGGTCCTGCAAGCCCGTGAAATTACCACTGCAGCACAACTCGTGGACCTTATCGACGTCAACTGGGCCCGCGTAGTTGGGCGCGACGTCGGCGAATGCCATGGACTTCACAGTGCTCGAATTCGCGATCGGCACCAAGGGGAAGTCGAAAATTGCATGGTCACCATCGAAAGACAACCTGTCCTTCTTGACGCACTTCGAAGGGTGATAATCAAACTTGCCCCCGCTGACCATCAAGCCCGCCTCCTCGGCGGTCAGCTTGCCGTCGCCGGCAGCGTCGTATGCGACCTGCCCCACAGAGGAAACCTGGTCGGCAGGGCAGGGGCGCTGGCCATGGCTGGCGAGGCGAGAAAGACGGAGCGGGCGGAGGCCTTGGCGGGCGGGCAAGGCCGCGCAAACGCTGAGCGCAGACGAGCTGCGGGGGGCAAACCGCCAGGTTAGAGGACAGTGGCATCTGTGGGCAGGAAGGAGGGGCGACGGCGACGTGATCACGATTATGGAATGCGGGACTGGTGCTCGGCACTTTTTCCTGAGTGGGCCCCGGCAAGAGGCGCCCAGGCGCATCGTTAACATCGCTCTAATAAGTTGAAATCGCGCGGGGCAGCGCTGGCCGCTTGCTGCCCCGCGTCGCAAAGCCGAGCCGCGCGGGCTCATTTGCCGACGCCCTTGTGCCACAAGTCGCTCAACATGTCCCCCGTGCACTGCCAGTAGTCGGCACCGCGGTTCCAGTATTCCCACTGGAACGAGCGGATCTTCTGGCGGAGAAGCTTTGTATTCACGACCTTGACGCTGCCGAGGTGCCTGCGGAGACCGCGCCAGCAACGGTCGATTACCTGCGCCCCAGCCATCGCCCACAACTTCTTTTTGGGCGCGCCGTCCTCGGCAATGTTGTGGAAGCGGGGCTTGGCGCACTTCGGCCTCGCCCAGATGCACTTCTCGTTGACCTTGGCGCGCTTGCGGCAATGGACGACGCAGTCGTGCTCCACGCCGCCCAACTTGACCCTGTAACTCTTGGCGCCGTCCGCGTGCAGAATGACGCGGCGGCCCTTGGGCCGCTTCTTCGCCGCGGGCATCAAGTCACGCTTGCGAATGGCCCCTGGGCCTGGCGCCCTCTTATTCGTCTGCGCGGGCTTCAGCCTAAAGAGCACGAGCGTGTCTGGAGCGCCCCCCTCCACGATCCCGCCCCATTGCCCCCGGTCGACAGGGCTGGGGCCGCCGTCCTCGGACACCTTTTTCGCGAGGTCCACCTCGTCGGCCTCGATGTCCTTCCAGGCCTCGCCCTGGGCGCCTGATCTCGCAGGGGCGCGTGCGATTGCCCTGTGCCCGCCGCGAAGATCGGGTGGAACGCGCGCGGCAAGACGTGCGGATGGCACCCGCTGTGGTTGCACCCGTGGCTCCGTCCGCCCTGCTTATCGGACCACTTTTTGAGCTTGCCGAGGGCGCCCTTGGTGCAATGCGGGCAGCTGGCCCCCGCCCGCTCTGGCAAATGGCCGTGCTTCTTCAACGCGTCGATGACGTGTTTCTGCCCCTTGTTCATGAAGTCGGACAGCCCCGCGCGCCACTTCACCCTCTCGTTCCGAGATTTTACTGGGCGGATCCCGTGCCTCACGTAGGGCATGCGCTTGGGAAGGCTGTCTGCGGCCTGCGTCACCGCCTTCTTCACCTTCTTCTCCGACTGGCTCTGGATGGCCGCCCCGCGCTTGCACTTCTTCGGCAAGGGGAAGTTCGGCGTCGCAGCCCGCAGCGGCTGCCCCGCCAGGGGGCGCAGGCGGCGGCGGCGGAGATCACTTGAGCCAGAACAAACTACGGCACTCTGCCATCTGAAGCGGAAGCGGG